CTCCGAGGGTTCCAGCTGCGACCAGTTTTCGCCGCCATCGTTGCTGTACGAAAGGAATTGGCGGCCAGCGTTGGTACGGCAAAACATCATCACACGGCCATCGGAAAGTTGAACGACGCCAGGCTCTTGGGTGACGATGTTCCGGTCGTTTTGCTTCGGGGGACGCGGGGCGACGGCACTTCTCTTCCATGTCTTGCCGGCGTCGTCTGAATAGTAGGCAAGCATCTGTGAAGCGATGTCCCACTTCGGCATCCCGGGGCCAATATGCTGTGCCAGCGGTGCGACCAGGCGACCATTTTCAAGCTGAATAACGCGATCATTATTCAGCACGTAATAACCATTTTCGGCGTCCGGAATAATCGTCGTCGCTTCACTCCAAGTCTCTCCTTCGTCGGTGCTGATTCGCATCAGGGGGCAGCAGTCGTTCGTCGAGTTTTTCCGCAGATAGAACATCGCCAGCCGCCCATCCTGCAGTCGCAGGAGCGACACCGACATGATGTTCATGCCTCCTTCGTTGGGAACTTCGATCTTGTCCTTCTTCGACCAAGTCTTGCCGCCATCGTGTGAGACGCGACTCGCGAGATGGGCCTTGGCGTGATCGCCGGCGCCGCCAACGAAGTGAGTGTAAACCAACAGAACGTCACCGTTCTTCAGTTGCACGACGTCCCCTTCGCTGTTGCGAGGGTTGCCAGGGCCAGGCGGGAGCACAACTTGAGACGGTGGAGCATCCGCTTCCGCTCCGGCAACGATCAGGGAGTTAAGAAGCAGCCCCACAAACAGCAGCAGCAAACAGTTTTTCATCGAAGGTTCTCAGGCATGAGGAATTTTCTTAGGCAGGCAAGCGAGACTTATCTTAACGCTTTTCTTCGGTTACGCAAATTCGTACAGCCAGCGGAGGGGCGAAAGGATTTTTTCCGCGTGATGTCACATCCCCAAGACGCTTCTCGTCTGGTTGATAGAAGCGGGCCACATGGCTCGCCCAGTGATCGACCCATATCGTTCCAAGGGGATAAACATGGACATGCTCGAAGCGAAAGAGACTCTTACCCAGTTCGGTCAGCACTACGACTACGACACCGGATATATCATTCAGCTGTTAGAAGACTCGCCGGGCGCCTATGCCACGTTCGCAGCGGCTCAAGCGATGCCTAACTATCATCAAAAGCTGCCTGCCGATGCTTACTTCGTCGCGAAAGTGGCCGTGATGAAAACCGAAGACTGCGGTCCCTGCATGAATCTAAGCTTGAAAATGGGTGCCGAAGCCGGCATCGACAAAGAGCTCCTTAAATCGATTGTGACTCAGCCGGAATCGCTTCCCCGGCCACTCCGCGATATCCACGACCACGCCGTCGCGGTGATTCGCAACGAAAACGACGACGCCGATCGCATGGAACGGATTCGCAACCATTATGGAATCGAAGCGTTCGCCGAATTGGCCGTTGTCATTGTTGGCTGCCGGATTTACCCTACGTTGAAGCGAGCCATGGGAATGGCGGCCCACTGCGAATTGGCGAAGCTCGATTTCTGAGCGATCCAAAGCAGTCCCACTGTTCTCGTCTGGCGTTTCTTTCCGCGGAGTTCACATATGGTTTCCGGCGACGAGTTTGAATCGTTACGCAAAGAGTTGATCGGTTTCTGTTATCGCATGCTTGGTAGCTTGCCGGATGCGGAAGATGTCGCCCAGGACGCATATCTCCGCTGGGAGCAAGCCGGGCGGCCGCAACTCGATTCGCCTCGCAGTTGGTACCTTCGTGTGTGTGCTCGCCTTTGTTTAGATCGGATCAAGTCGGTGCAGTACCAGCGCGAAAAGTACATCGGGCCATGGCTTCCCGAGCCGATCCTGGAAGATCATGCCGGCAAGACCGAGTTGGACGAAACGATTTCGATCGCGTTGATGCTGACGATCGAACGATTGAAACCAGCCGAACGGGGCGCGTTCATTCTGCATGACCTGTTCGGCTACGAGTTTGCGGAAGTCGCCGATATCTTGGGCCTGCAACCGGCCCATTGTCGTCAGCTGGCCAAGAGAGCTCGAGATCATTTGAAAGGAAACAAGCCGCGTTCGATCGTCGATGTGCCGGGCATGCAGCGAATTTCCGACGCGTTCTTCCAAGCCGTCAACGCCGGCGACTTGGATCAACTGCGGACAGTTCTTTCCGAAGACGTCGTCATGCATACCGATGGTGGCGGCAAGATCAGTGCGGCGAAGGACCTGGTAGTTGGCTTCGACGCGGTGACAACGTTCCTTGTGCGTGTTGTCCGCAATGTGCAGCGTTTCGGCGAGCTGCGTTTCGAGCCGACATGGTTCAATGGTTCGCCGGGGATGATCTCTTGCCAGGGAGATCAAATCATCGCGGCGTACCAACTTTATGTCGTCGATGGAAAAGTTGCCGCCGTGTTTGTCTATCGAAACCCTGACAAGCTGGCCCTG